TATACAAGTGGATTTACACATTTTGTTGTCTACAATTACAATTCGTTTGTATTGTGCTAGAAATGTTATATTTAAAGAAGTTCTGTTATGATAAAGATACTAATTTGACCGGAAATGTTTTGCGGGTCTCTGCTAGTTTAATACTATTATGATAATATAAAATTACATTGAATACCTGTCTTTTTTGTTTTTTGTCACAAATTTGTTTACAATATTTAAATTACTAGGTATATATTTTAGAAAAATTAATGAACTGTAACATTTCGTTAAATAAAATGCGTAGTAATTTGCTAAGTACTCTAGTATACACTGATTAACTATTATACCCAACAGATAGGAAATACATTTTTTTTATTTAACCAGCTGAAAGTATTCTGAACATATGTAATAACAAATTTAATATTTGCATTTTTTTATGTTCTCAGATTCATGTAACAGTTATTCTTTCTAGTAAGCTCTTGTGCAAGAATTACTGCTCAACTTTTACTCCGAACTGTACAGTGGCTTGGTTCAATCTATGGGTCACTTTTCCCCCACACTTTGGTAAGATTCTTCTTTATCCTTTATGCAGTATAAATTACTTACATGAGGTATATATATATATATATATATATGTATGACAATGATGTTTAGAAAGAACTGAGACATATATATGTTTGATTGTACATAGGAGATATAATTATATAGTTGGATGTGTTATTGGTAAATGTGTTAATATCATTGAAAGTGTCTTAGGGTATGAAATTTTATTGGAAATTTTAATATGTATCATTAGAAGTGCTTTGTGGTGTGAAATGTTTAAAGTGTTGGGGTAACTTTTCGAGGTTAGCCAGTTTGGTCAAAGAAAAACATTTCCAAGGTCTTCTCACAGTAGAGTTGTATAGACAAAAAAAAAAGAAAATAGCAAATTAATGTTACAAATTATCACATCTGAAAAGAACTCTAAAGGAATAAAGTTATCAAATTTTTCTGAAAAACTAAAGTGTAGGAAATCAAGAAAGCTGTGAGTGTTGACATATATTTTCATTAAAAACCCTCCTTTATCACAGTTTTAGGTTACTGAGCATGATAATAAATTGAAATAAGAATTAATAATTTCAAGTTTCAGTTTGATGTTATATTGTAATCAAAATAGTTTTACTCAATATATATATATATATGGATATTTTCATGTTCTTATAGTTGTCCAAAGAAGATTTAATAGCCCAGTTTTGTCCAGTGTTAGATTGGTAAGTTTTGTTTTAATCTGCTTGTTTGTGATTGATGCCTGAGGTTATGTCTTACCATTGGCTATACAATGTATATGGTTATTTAGTCTAATAGAACATAAATATTTGGTTACTTCACGTACAAACATACAAGGACTTGAAAATTTAATTTCATGATTATTTCTTTTAAAGGATTTTGCTAAGATCATTAACTTTTGTTGATTGTAAATGATTATGAAATATTATTGCCACATTTACTGTTTCATTTTTAGGCATCATGGAACAATTCGGGCCTTTGCATGGCATCCTCATACACCCAAATGTGCAGTTGCCTTGCGAGATGATTCAGTTCGAATTTTTGCCTCTGGAAGTAGAGTTACACCTCTGCTAAAACACAAACAACAGAGAGGTGTGGCTGACATGGCTTGGAAGTGAGTATATATATATATATGTGTGTGTGTGTGTGTGTGTGTGTGAATATTTGAACTTTGCACTTTCTTTTGTAATGAATTTTTCTTTTCCAGTATTGTTCTTACCAAATACCTTATGTAAACTAACATTTGAAATTGCAAACTCTGGATAACTATGTTGTTTGAGGTAAAGATTATAGGTTTGGAGTTTCCAAACCAAGGATAGGTTTTTTTTAATTGACTGTTTGTTTATTATTGAGAAAGATTTTTTTTTCAGTAAATATTCATCATCATCAGTCCTTTCCAAAACTCAAATGGTTCATATGGAAGCTATCAAGGCTTTCCATTGTGTTAAGTCTTCTTCCAATTTTTCAACCTCTATACTGTCCATGCCTTTATTTCTCAATTCCTTTTCTATTGTTTTATGCCAAGTGTCTTTTGGTCTTCCTCTGTGTCTTCTTCTAATTGGCCTTTAGCCCATTGTTTGTCTTGACAGTCTATTCTCCTTCATTCTTAGAACGTGTTCATAGGATCTCTATCAACACAACTTCTCTTTGTTAATGTCTCTTCATTTATATGATCAAACCATTTGAATGCCATTACTTTTTAAGCTATTACTCTCAAAAACTCTCAATCTAGACTCATTGCCCTGTAATCCTTTCCATATCTCACAACTGTATAACAAAATCAAAAGAATTAAGCTATTGAACAACTTGAACTTCATCTTAATATATAAACCTTCAAAAAAACAACTCGTTCTTTTCACAGTCTTCTTTTTACTTTCTTCCATATACCTCCATCGACACTAACTATGCTAACAAGATATGTAAAGTTTCCATATCTTCAATTATCTCTTAGCCCACAATAACCTGATCCAAATAATTTGTCTTTAACCTCATTGTCTTTGTCTTACCAATGTTAATAGCTAAACCAACCTTCTAAGCTCAACACCACAGGTTTTTGCCATTCCTTACATTGCTCAATGGTGTTTCTCAGAACAAAAATTCAGTAAATATTACAAGGCATTAAATAGTGTAATAGTATTCATATCATTTAAATATATCAAATTTCCTATGTAGAATTAAACAAAAAAATGTAGCAAATAAAATTAAGTATTTAGACAAGGTTGTTTTTCTAGTGTTATTTTTAACAGAAAGTTTCATTTTAAGAGTATTTTATTGATACAATACATATACATGTAGTCAGATCAGACTTGCAAAGATTTAGGTTCACAATATTTGAATTTATTTCTTAGTACTTACATGTGTGTCTCCTGGTGGGACAGTGGTAATTCTTTGGATTTAAATTACAATGCTAAAATCAGGCATTTGATTTCCCTCAGTGGACACAAGTACTTAGACCAGGTTGCTTTTCTAGTGTTATTTTCAACATAAAATTTCATTTTAAGAGTATTGTATTGATACAATACATATACATGTAGTCAGATCAGATTTGCAAAGATTTAGGTTCACAATATTTGAATTTATCTCTTAGTGCTTACATGTGTGTCTCCTGGTGGGACAGCGGTAAGTCTTCGGATTTAAATTACAATGCTAAAATCAGGTGTTTGATTCCCCTCTGGACACAGCAGATGGCTCAATGTGGCTTTGCTATAAGAACACACACTTACGTGTGTATGTATTACTTTATGGAACTCTTCAAATCAGGAAGACTTACCTTTGAAATACTGAGTCTTTCCTTTTTGAGTTTGAACTTATGCTGTCAAAAAAATGTGACTAAAACTTTTCTGAATGTCCTGTATGCATTGCAGAGTTTTTATTACTTATGAATAATTCTTCACTCTCTCACCTTCCATGAGACTTATTCAAACATCAGGGGATCTAACATAAGCAAGATTTATATAATTTAGATTTTCTTTTTGACAGTTAGCTATGACATTCTTTCTGATGCAGCTGTTTCTGCCAGTATCAGAATTTCTATAACTTATACAATTTTCCAGTAATCTGCAAAGCAAATTTAGATGTTATGTCAGCTCTGATATTTCAACTTATTCATGTCATAGTATATTCATATTTCTAGTGGTTATGAAGATCCTGTGGATGCTTAATTTGTATAGCAATTGTCTTTTATTTTTTCCTCTTTTTTTTTTGATGAAGATCAAATTTTGCCCAGGTGTAGTTGCTTTCAGAGTCTACAAAGTTGGATTTGGATTTCTTATTGCTAATTTGCAAGTGGGAGTGAACAGCAAAAATCCATGGAAAATGTCAGGAATAGGACTTAGAAGGTCTTAAAATTTCAAGAAGTCTTTAACTTCTCAGGAGGGGGGGGGGATAAAGCCCCCTTTCATTGCTCACCAATATCAATTATTTGGATCTTCCCTTTTTAAAAATCTAAATTGACCCATGAAATATATTTTCAATATTGAACCTATTTACATTATATCTGAGAGTACTTGAGATGAATTTTCATATTTGATTCTTTTATTACTCTCACCTTCTCTATTTTGGGGTTGTGGATATTTCTTGAAATTGGTCCTTTATTCGTACACTCTATTTACTTCTACTCTTCCTTCTCAAGTTTTTGACTCTTTGTTTGTTTCTTTAACCATTGTCAGTTTTTTTCCTGCACATTATGACTTGTCTTGTTTTGAGACATTATTTTTCTGTACTATTATTAGTTATTCTCTTTCTTCCTTGTCGTTGCTGTTGTTTATATTATCATGTGATTCTTATGTTTCTTTGACATGTTTACCATTTGTGCCATGGTTCAAGGTATTTACCTCTTAGTCAGATGCTCTCCATTTATATATATAAAAATTAAACCTGCATATTTATTTGTCTTTGCAGATATTTCACTTTACCTTGCTTCCTGTTAAGTAGAAGCTTGCCAGCAGGAGTTGATTAGGGTTTTTAGCATCTAGTTTTGCTTCTGGTTGTCATTCCATTCTAGATTCCTTATTGTAATGGTTTTGGATGTTTGCTCCATCTTCATGTTTTCAGATTGGTCTAGCATTGTTGTAAATGAGGAGGATCCTTATGACTCACTAACTGACTGTTATGGATGATTCATTCACCCAGACTTTTGGGAATCATCTCAGGTATATGTTCATCTATGGATCCTTTGGGTTTATCAGACTTTTCATTTTGATTTTCTATTTATCATCCAAATTTGACTCTTTCAGTTTCTATTGTATTTTGGATCTAGTAGTTTTGAATTTATATTTTTAGAATTAAAATGAATTTCAAACAGGTACTTCCTCTGAAATACCTTTCCCACAGCCAAAATATATCATGACTGCAAATTTCAATAAAATCTAAATTAAGAAAGCAGAGCTTATGCAAAATCCACTGATACTTGTGCAATATGTCGCATGGGAGAGTGGAAAATTATGGATAAGTGACACGTGTTGTGCGATTTGTTAAAGAATTTGGAAAATATTTAGTCACATATTTATAAACATAAATAAAATAATGACCTGTATCTCCAGAATGTAACTTTACTAGCTTTATTAAAGTTACATTCTGGAGATATAGGTCAATAATTTATTTACATTTATAAGAATATCTTGTAATAAACTCTAGTTTGTGGTAAACAAAGCCAAAGATAATAATTTAGTCACATGTTTTCCTGACAGAATGATTTCCAACTCAAAAAGGAAGAGCTTTCATTATTGCAGAGGTAAATACTTGATTTGAAGTTCATTTTTAATTCTAAAAAAATTGTGCTATCAAGTTCATCATTTTAACTATTTTTCCACAATGTATAGTATTAATCATGTGCTTTACACCTTTATGGCTTATTGGTTACCAGTTTGAATATCATATATCTTGAAATAAAAAGTTGTTAGAAAAGTAACTTTAAAATTTATCATTTTTAGTTATATTAGTTTCACGGAGGGTCAGTGGTAACACTAATATCTGAGGTTCAATTCCATCTGGACAGAGCACAGAAACCCTGAATGTCTAGATTTGCACTAAGAAAATGAACAAATAATTATATCAAGAAATGTTTTACAAAATTGTAATTAAAAAAAAAGAATCATCTGTGCTAAGTGTAAATTGTTTTTTTTTTTTTAGTACTGACCATGGCTACATGTCTTATACACTGATTGAATTCTCTTAAATGCATATGAGGATTTTTTAATGGCAGATCTCAGACAAATGTGAATTTTTTTAAAGGTTTGGAATGATTTATAAAACTTGTACCTGTTTTTTGATTCCAAAAACTTGGCCTAATTGTTTTAGTTTCTGCTCAGATTTTTCTGTCATAAAACTGAATTCTGGCTGTTTCTAGGTTTGTTATTTGTTATTTCTGTAACTTGTGTTTTTCTTGATCTTTGTATATAGAATATTTAGTATTTTTGTACTTTGTCATTGTTCTGTAATACAAGTCTTTGTTCTTACAGTACTTGTGACATACACCACCATACTCTTATTTCAGTGTGATTCTATATTTTTTTAGTTAATTTTTTGTTTTAAAACTTTATGACTTATTGCAGGCTGTTAAATTATGTTTTTACTTCTGTTTATATTTTCTCAGACCTTACAGTGCCTCCTACCTGGCTGTAGCTTGTCAAAGTGGTATCCTTCTATGGCAAATTGAACCAACATCTCTCGTAACAAGGTATCCACACTGGAAAAATTCTCAAAATAATTTCTCAAACAAATTCTTTAAGCTAATATTTTTATCTATTTAGCAGATTTATATTAATGTAATAGTACATGTATTTTAAAGTTATATTAAATTTACTTTTATATTTGCTCTTTACTAAATACAGATCGGTTAAACTTTAATCATGGCAAATCATTGGTTTAATCATACATTGTAAAGTTTGAAGTATGGTCTACATTTTGCAAATTTCCAACCAAATATGGAAATTGTAGAAAACATTTATATAATTTCAATTTGATTTAAAATTGTCTTGTGAAAATACTTTCTGAAATGCTTTTAATTCTTTTAATATTGGCTTGATCATTTTGACCAACCTTGTAACCATAAGAATATCCATACTATAACTTTTAATGGGGTACATATGTCTTCATTAATGTTGGCTTTTAATAAACATTACAAGTCTCTTGTACACACAAAACTAGGATTTTTGATTAAGCATATTTACTAAAGAATTGTCTGAATATGTGGAGTCAGAATGTTGACTAATCCGAGTGCAAGGTGATCTTCATGTTTATTCTTCTGAAAGTTTTCAAATTTTATTTGCATAACCTTTAAAACTTCTTAAATAAATATCCAATTTTTTTCAGCTCAACTTTATATCTTATCTGTTTTTCTCTACCCTAACTCTATATGAACTTGGTCGATTTGACTGACTTTGTAACCACCACAAAAAAAAAGGAAATCTAAATTACTCGTTTGTACTTTCTAGAATTATTACAGATTGTAACAGAAAACAACAATTACTTATCCTAAATAGTTTAAGACTCTTTAAAAGTACATCTATTTCTACTTGATTTTACTGTTTTATTGCTCTTTGAACATGTCTAATTACGTTTCATGAGACAAGCTGTAAATCATTTAACGAACATGTAGTTCAAGCCACTGTATCAAAAGACTTAATGCATGAGCTACACATGAGCACACCTTGTGAAATTTTTTTTCATTATCTTATCTAACCTAGTAAGTTTCAAATTTTTTACATTTTGCCATTATAACAACAGATAAATAATATACATAAAAAAACAAGAAATTTGGTACTTATATTTGACCTCTTGTATTTTTTTGCTATTGGCTCACCAATGAAACTTAAGCCTATGTTTTTTGTAATTATGGTACTAGCATATCAAATAATTTTTATTTATTTCAAGTATGCACATAAGAATATAAAGTAAAAACATGTACACAGCAAACAATGTCCTGTAACTATATAAGTTAAATGGCTTTTTAGCTAAGGCATAAGTGCCTTAAAATATCTCTCTTAGTTACTAACTCTGAACTCAACAATAGAAACTTTCAATCTGTAGGCAAAATAACTAAAAATATCTTTTGAGAACAAAGTAATATTATATGTCATTTGGTAAATTAAAACTTTGTCCTTCTTTTGGGTATAAATGATGTAATAGCAAACAGAGAACTATTGGCAGTAAATTTGTGAAAGAGAGAATGCGATAGAAGGTTATGGCAAGTAGGTTTAACTTTTTAGTTTATATCTGTAAACACAGAAGATTGAAGACTATAAAAATTAACCTATGCCTTAGTAATATCTATACTGTAAGGAATAATTTATATTAAATTTGGGACATCAGAGAGAGATTGGCAAGTCAGAAAGAACAAATGTCACAATACAGATACAAGGGGAGATAGAGAATTTATTTGAATATTTCCTTTTGAAATTAAAAATTAAACTTGTATAATCTTAGAATATGATTTATTAACAATGTTTTGATGCCAAATTTATTCATATATATATATATATTGATAATAAAGTAGTTTAATTAAATTTTGAATGTAACTTTAAACAGTGTAAAATGTTCATTTTAAATGTTTGATCAATAGCAACCTGTTAGCAACAACTTCTTTAGCCTAGTAGTTAGCATGCTTAATTTGATATGAAAAATTGTTTCATGAAAAAAATGTGTTTTGCACTTGGCCAGAGGTTTTTTATAAGAGTGATTGTAAAATTCCACTGTTCAATCAGACAAGTGGCCCAAGAGTTGAGGGTGGGTACTGTTGGTTAGCTCCTTCCCTCTAGCCTGTAAGATCAAAACTAGAGTTGATTATATACAGATAACTCTTTTATGTAATTTTGTGCAAAAAGTCTGAAAAAAATCTTTAACATTTAGATACTTATTTTTTATTGTTCAAAGTTGGGTCTGTCCATGTCAGATCAACAACTCCATAAATCAAATGTTTGTGGATATTGATGCTGTTTGCCAGGGATGTTGGTGCTATAGAGATATTAGATTTCACATCTCTTAACCAGTTACCTGCAGCGGCCATTTTGTCTTATTGTGAGGGCAAAATCACATTTGTGAATTGAAACAATTATAGAGAACTTATCTTTTATTGGATTTCAGATTTTATTTTTGTAAATAGTAGCATAGCATTCAATTATTTATACAACATTGTATTATTTAATGAAGCTTAAAGAGGAATTTAATGAAAAAAATCCTAAAATACATTTGAGACTGTAAATAGGCACCCTCTAAGAAGGAAATTTTTTTTCAAAAATTTTCCTTCCACTTCAGCACTGGTCCTGCCATCTATGATTGGTATCTAAACCTTTTTTATAGTCTGTTTTCCTTATAAAACAGCGTCTAGGCGTGTTAAACGTCAGTTGTAAAACTTTTAGCCAATCCTGGTCGAAGGTGTCAATTTCAGTACCATGTTATTCCAATTGCTGTATTTCACGTTTGACAAATCATAGGATGATAAGCAAAGCGCATGACGAAATGTTGCTCTCTGGATTTTACAATATGAATGTGGGTGGTGCTTATTATAGTAACTGCCATTTTATGTAGAGGTTGTATTTAGTATTGGCCAATAGTACTTTTCTATAAGCATTAGAAAACTTGCTTTTGGAAAAAACTGCATGGGATGTACGTGACTTTTATTATTTTTCTATAGTAGCTTAAGTCATACTGCATCATATATCTTTTTATATCAATCATTATATTGAAAAATTAACTCAAAATAAATATATTTTTTAGGAAAGAAGTTGATCCACGATTGTTAGGGTTAAGAGCTATCGAGTGGCGAGTGCAAGGTCTTTACATGAATTAGTCTTAGCACTTTGAACTGAAAGAGTTTGATTTTTTATATTCTTTTGTATTTAAATTTGTAGTTTGAAGCTCAATAATTTAGTGTAATTTTATATTTAGTTAATAATGATAATATGATTCAGTATGTAGAATGATAAACTTGTGTGATTTGTACTTAATACTACTAGTACCACATAAGAATTTTATATTTTTCCTTCTTACAATCTTCACTTTGTAGTAAGACCCACACTTCTGTTGTTATTGCTTTAGAATTAAAATGTCTAACTGATATATATATCTAAAGTTTATTCTGATATTTTGCAAATGGTTTAAAACTCAGTGTACAAGTGACAACAATAAAACCCATATGTTGGTTGTGAAACAGACTAAATACATTTGTCTCAATAATACAGGGAAGCTATGACATTCTCACAGTTGGGATCTCAATACACTGAAGAACTTAAGTTTCGAATTCCAACATAAATCTTACCTATAATGAGAGGAATGTGACCAGGACTAATCTTTTAAGTGCTGTAAAGTAGTTTTCTTTGTAATTTATGGTGTCTGTATCGTTTGGTAATCTCTTCTAACAGAATGTGTCAAGTAACTAGGGGTCAGGCGATGTTATTCAAACCACCTTGCTGTAAACTATTACATACATTTGCTAGTAGTGGCAATTAGTTTTGTCTGTATAGTGAAACAACATACATGCACATATGTTGAAATAAACTTGTTTGAAAGTTCAAAGAAATGATATTCAAGTACTGAAAGGCTTTCTTACTATCATATCTACAGTAATGTTGAAATGTGCCTGCGCTGGACTGAACGAGAGTGACCACCAACAGTCATGATAGTTCACAAGAAATGTACAAAGTTCAAGCTGCTAACCTCATGACTTATTCAGCACAATAAACAAAAGTATGGCTGCAATGAAACATAAACATAAACTTGAAATAAAAATACATTTATGAAACAAAATTAAAATGCATTTATGTACATATATAAACATGAAATCCTAGTTAAAAATAAAAATACTGATTTATTGTTTAGGTTTATTTACAAATATTATTTTCAGTTTTGTATATTACTTGAAACCATAAGGACAGTACGTGATTATTAAAAAAATTAAAAATAGATAAAATTTGCATTTTATGGATGATACGTGTGTTAGTCTTGTATATATAAGACGTTCACAACGTGACAGGACAACAGGGTAATGAGTAATTGAATGTATGCGGACAAAATATTGTTGGCCAAGTGAGACGTGAATTATAGTGTTTGTTAGAGAGCGACTGTTGAAATTAAGTGTATCGTAAAGTTGTATTCGGAAAGAATAAACCAGTTTTTTTTTAAGAAAGGACTTGTGTCGCTAAAGTTTCGTCGGAACGAATTTACGGAAACTTAACTAACGAACGGAGGCGTAACAAACTGGTGTCAGAAATTGGATAAAAAAAATGGAAACGAGAAGCGGCAAATCAAACTACAGCTTAGCAGACTTAATGGCAGCAATACAAGAACAGCAAAAGAAACAAGAAAAACGAGAAAAGAAACAAGAAGAACGAGAAGAGAAATTACAACAGTTGTCAGATGAAAAAGAAAAGAAACAAGAACGAGAGAATAAATAAGAAGAGAGCTTACAGCAGTGACAAGAAAACTTACAACAGTGGCAGCTCGAACAGGAAAATAAACAAGAAGAGAAATTACAGCAGTTGTTGGGGGAAAAAGAAAATAAACAAGAAGAGAGACTACAGCAGTGGCAACTGGAACAAGAAAGGAAACAAGAAGTATAAACGGAAAACATTAGTAAATTTAACCCGATGACTACCGGCTACTAACTTTCTTAGTAGGCAATGCAAGTCTTGCTATATTTCATTCCAACAATAAAACTAGTGCCGAATATTTTCGAAAATT